CTTCTTCTTCTTCTTCTTCTTCTTCTTCTTCTTCTTCTTCTTCTTCTTCTTCTTCTTCTTCTTCTTTTTTGCTTTTTGCAAGTTATATATTAAATCAGGGGTTCTCAAAGTATGGCCGGTGGGCCGGATACGGCCCGCCAGGGTCATTTATCCAGCCCGCCTGCCTGATTGGCCGCCGCTGCTGTCTGTCAGAAGCGGAAGTGTCGGGGCTGTGTCTGGAGCTGCAGGCGATGTACAAGGAGGGAGATCACAGAGCCAAACTATTCTATGTGACAAGTATGCCGGGTCCGGCAGCTCTCCTCTCCTCATACTCCGCGGGAGGGATCCTCTGTGTTCATAGGAATTTGTTCACGTTTTTTTCAAACGATAGTCTGGCCCCCCAACATTCTGAGGGACCGTGAACTGGCCCCCTGTTTAAAAAGTTTGAGGACCCCTGTATTAAATTCTTAAGTCTCTGTTTAAGATCTCTTAAATCCAAAGAAGGTAAAACTCACCAGGTATTAACTTAAGCTCGCCATTTTGAAGGTCTCTAATGTCCATAAAGTGGCTAAATTGAACATTTCTGAATGTGATTAGAAAGTGAGATTGGCTGACTTAGTGTCATTAAAGGCTTCACTGCTGCTGAAAGCAAAGATGCCATCTCCCTTGGTTCCTGGTGCTCAAACCCATGGGAGACTGCTGTTTTATGGCTTCCTTGTGAAGAGCTGCCATTCAGAACACTTGTGGCCGATCTCTCCTCCGGAGAGCTTCGAAGGACTGGTCTACTTGCCAGTCTTCCGTTCTACACAGTGGTCGTTGTTTCCACTCATTCACGGAGACGTCTTCAGTCAGCCATGACTCTCAGCAGAAGCCCTAATTGCCTAGAGATCCTGAGTTGTTGCCTAAGGTAGACAAAATTGAGTCCTATTTCATGTACGGCCGTTGTGTAAATAAATGGAGATAGTCAAGCTGCATTTTAGGAGCACTCTCAAAATAATAGTTTAGGGGATTAATTGGCAACTCCAATCCATGGTAAGTTTCTCTGGCTATACTGTATCTTCAATATAAGATTGTACTCTTGTATTTCATAAATTTAATTCCAATTTATGTAATACAAGAATATAATTAAAGATCACATAGAGCAGTTCCCTCCCAAAAGTAGTTCTATGTTTAATTTCTCCTCTCTCCCTAAAATTGTCGAGTAGCCTAGTCCTGTTATGCTATATAGATTTCTCTGCCCCCGTCTCTAGGAACTGGAAATAAAAAAGACAAGGACAATGCCATATATTAAAGGAAAAAACTGCTTGAAGATGTAGAAAAAATAAAATGGTCCCAACATCTTTGATGAATGCCTTCATTGCAGTACAAGAATTCCGGCAACAGAACTGAACTACTTTAGAAAGATTTCTAGCATCATGTGTTTCCTAGCATCATTAATTTTATATTGTTATTTCAGATTGGGAAACAATCATTTGGTTCCTAATCTTAGATACTGTGTTACAACTTATTTATGATGCTGCAAACGTTTAGTTGCTTTCTCAGTTCATAGTTGCGTTACAGGAGCTCTGAAGGACAAAAATAGATACATGTCTTTCAATTAGAGAACTAGGATAGAGTATGTAGCTTTAATTTCTGGTACAGTGGTGCCGCCTTGTGTATGAAAAGAATTAAGTTTTTTTCTCCAATATCATGTTGTAGTACTTAACCTTTTTTCTCCACCTCCCACCTTTTTTTGTTTGGATAGGTAAAAGTTTGGGTAGGCAAAATATTAAAAAGAAGTTACACATGTCCTTTATTTAATAAAGAGCTTTGTCTTAAGCATGTTGTCATGAGCAAATGTAAAGGATACACTTTTGTAAACTGAATGTCTCCTTCCATATAGAGACAAGATCCAGAGAAGCTTTTTAAAAAGTCAGGCTAAACAAATGCAGCAACTTAAGGAACAATACAGCCTTGGCTAAACATTTTTTCAAAGAAAGTGCTATTATCTCATCCTGCAAATGCTTCTCTGTCCTATGTCATGATCCATGTTAAGTAGCCACCAGACCAGCCTTACCTCCAGCCTTAAAAGACTTTCTCAGTTATGATTGTTGTATACATATGGAATATTCTTGGAGGGAGGCATAGCAAACCCATAAAAATGTGGGTTTGATAATGTCACTTTTAAAAGGGATTTAACATTTGCATCTTGACTTTTGGGATGACCCACAAAAATGAAACTTTATGGTAAATGAAAAAAGGGTTAAAACCCCTAAAGGGTTTTTAAAATACAATCATATGTATAGAAGCTTTAATTTATATAACTTGTATGAACAACAGCAGCTTTCTTTCAGCTATGCAAGACTAGAATTAACCTGAATGACTGCGATTAGTTCTGCTTCCTTGAAAAGACTTTCTTTGTATCCCACCTTTCCATCTGTGTAAATATTTTTTTTTATGTGAGCCACCAACAAATGTTTTTGATTGCATCAGCATAGAAATATGTTTAATAAAATACTGGATGGTCAAGTCATTATCTCTCAGGTTATCCTGCAACATAAGGTTATTCTGAAGCCAAAATGAGAGAGGAAGCCATCATTTAAGGACTCACACAGCCACAGGGTTAGCCACCCTAACCCTAACCCTAACCCATTCTGGGACCTATAATTGTCTGTGCCCCCTAAAAAAAACAACTGTAGATAAAGATACAAATAATAATTCTGTCTAAATCTTGTCTGCAAGCCCATGTATCCTGTTACTGCATTGTTATTATTTCTCTAAAGTAAGAAAATTTTGCTGGATTAATTTAATCAAAAAAGGGACAATTTAAAAAAGTGGACAAACTAGTGCTGCTTCTTTTCTCCATTTCTTCAGATCGGAGAGCCATCCCTGGTCCTCTGCATGGATTGTTCTTCTAAGACAATGAGCAGTCGTCTTCTGAAAAGAAGTCAGTGCCTTGAGGATAATGCTGAAACTATCACGAAACGTATTGAAGCTTACTATAAAACAGCTGAGCTGCTGATTGCATATTATGAAAACAGAATTCCACTCTTTAAGGTAGATTGCCTTGGCTTTATACTTGCTCTGTCCTCTGTTTACGTAGAAAGGTTCTAGGAGTTAATTCACTTGGGTCATAAATGTTCTGACCTAGTGAGTCCTCTCATGCATTTCTGTTAACTGAGAAGGCAGATGGGAATTTTCTTAGTTGCAAGATGCCCATGCTACCCTATCCCTGTAAATGGCAAGTGAAAATCTAGAAGACTAAGAATTAAACTGTGAATTACATTCACTCTGATCCTTATGTATACCTAAGTGGCTAGAAATAGGGGAAGAAATCTAATGAAAGAGCATGTCACAGATAGACCATATCTGACTCAGATCCTCTTCTTTAGTCAGTTCATTCACCTTTGTATGCTGGCAGCTCATGTTTTGGGATAATTGGTTAGTTGGCCACTGGCCATATTTTTATTTCTCAAACATCACAAAAGAGCTGAGAGATTGTCACATCCCTCCTCTGCTTTTCTGTCTTGGAGTTGATGCCACTGTGGAGAAACAGGATTTACACCTGCCCCCAGGTGCCTGCTTTTCAACCCTCTTCCCCCCAAATCTGACAATGGGGAAGTTAAAAGCAGAAAAGGCCACAGAGCTGGAGGGTAGTGCATAAAGAAGCTCTGGTCTTTTGGGGCCTCTCTAGGACTTTGCCTTGATTATGAATGTGAGAAGGATGAGTTAACTTCAAGTACATAGTTCGCATAAATACGGGGGGGGGGGGCTGTACTGGTTGCCCAGAGTAGGTTAGTTTAATCTCAAGCAAGACCTCTGGATCTTCTGCATGTCAGGTTCTTTTGTCCTCTGGGAAGGACAAAATCAAAATTCTCCCTTACAACTTCCCTGGAATTACAAATGTAATTGTAAAATGTTGTACAAATAGTTGTAACCAATAAGGAAGGGACATAAAAACAAGAACATTGCAACATGAAAAGATAGGAGTCTACTGCTTCAGCCTGACTCATACATGCTGTCAAAACTTCAGCAATGGCAGATGATCTGCCACTTCACTCTAAATTTGAATACGTTGAAGTTAATGAGAAAAAAATCCCAAGTTTAACTCTCATTGTTTTCAGTAGGAAGTGTGATATAACCTATAAATCCTACCCTTTGGTTTTAAATACATTTCTGTATAAGATAGCACGTGCTACCTATGGTTCTAATATACTTGAATTTATTTTGCATTTATTTTAGATTACAAAGAATTTGGCAACTCATAGTATCCCTTTATTTTCCTCTTCTACTTAATATTTAAAATTCTTAGCTAGAATCATTTCCTTAATTAAGGTATTTAAGTATACCCTATTGCAGAATTTTTTCACACACAAAAATCCCCAACTCCTGAATGTATTTAATAGAAAATTTGGAAAATAGCTACTTAGTATACTGTTCCTGGTATTATTTAGGTTATATTATGCTATTATATTATTTCAAACAGCAAGAAAAATAGAAAACTGCCTTTGCTATTGCCTTTTTTTTGCCACTACTGAAATAATTTGTGTGCTCAGCTCTTTCATACAGAACATGAAAGTCAGAATGTCTTCAGATATTGAGAGATTATCTCCATGTTAAGGTTCAATATTTCACACTTCAAAATGCTCAGCATGAAAAATAGAAAGCATCTGTTGCCAAAACACTTCAGAACTGGTATTTCAAATTAACACTCCTCTCTCTCCCAGTATGCTTTTCACTTGGATGTTATAGATGAAGAGTTTTTTTTTTTTTTTGGCCAAGCAAATTAAAATCTAAGAAGAAAAATACATATTGGGAAGTGAGAGCGCGATCATCTCTGTTCAGTTGGTCAGGGCCATTTGTTGCTATGCCTTAGAACAGAGGTTCTCAACCTTTGTCATCTCACGGCACACATCTCATAGGCAGGACACCTGGGTTGCGAAACCAGAAGTCCCATGAGGTCACAGGTTGCATGAGGAGAAAGAGTCTGCCCCTAGCGATGTCATGGGAGGTGGGGTTCTGGTTGATGCAGCACTCCTGTGGACATTTGTGGCACCTTGGTTGAAAACCACTGCCCTAGAAACTATTAAGAAGGGCTCATATCAATTTTCTGAATGCCTGCAAAGATTCCTCAAGCTTACAGCGCACGTCAAATATTTTGTGCGTCCCAACAATTAGCAGATCAGCAGAATACGTGGCCTTTTATAGCAAACCAATCCTAAACTACTTTCACCTTAGACTTTTAGCCATATATCATCATACAGGCCTGGCTGGCGCCTGTTGCTTGAATTCTACTGGTGATGTTGGTCTGTTTTGTTTCCTCGCTAGATGCAACCTGACAAAATGCTCAGTTGCATGCTTTCCTAGACATGAGCATCAGTCAGTATTCTTTCCAAGCAAAGCATTCTAGCTTCTTTTCCTGTTTTTCCATTTGTCTTTTCCAGCCAACATTCAGTTCGGCAGAATTTACAGAGGCATAACGGGAGTTTTTTTAAAAGCCCCCCTCCTGTTTTCAGTTTGAATATTGCATATTGTTCCCTCAAGAATGCTGTTGTTTTTCAGCATTCTTGAGTGTTGGCTATAAATGGGTATTGAGTCTGGTAGCTCTGGGAGGCGTCTGGTTATATAAGGCTGCCGTTGTCTTTTACCGTGTGAGATGACTCTTCCAGGAAAAAATTAACTTCTCTGGATGTTTTTCTTTTTTTTTTAACAGATAAATGCAGAAGGAACACCAGAGGAAGTTTTCCTTGAGATATGCACTTCAGTCAGTGCTTTTCTGAAAAAGGAATAGCATCACTCTTTCAACACAGTGTAATGGCAGTGCTCTCTCTCACGCACACATACATACAGCGTCCATTACAAATGCTGTTCAAAGCAATAGCTGCTGCCTTGAAAGATTAATGCATGTTGTAAACATTGTAAAAATCTTTGTAACTTAAATGGTACAGTAATGACACGTGTCCTGTATACGGCCTATGATAACAGTTTGCAGTTCACAGGTTAAAAAAAAAGCAGCATGATAAACAGCAGCTGTTTTATAGAACACGTCTTGCATTTCACTACTACAAGACGTACTATACAGTCAAGCACAGCAGTCCCAGTCGTAGAAGTTATGTAACAGTGAATTTGCTGCTCAACGCAATTCAATTTTGAGGCTATTTAAGCTTGCTCTTTCTTTATAGTGCTTGAACAGTCTGTTTTCTGTCATTTTCTTTTATTGGGGGAACATGTCTGCAATTCGGTTTGCAATCATTTACACGCAAAATAGCGGACATTGGGACAGCCTCACAAAAAGCAGCATAAGCAATATGCAGTACATGAACCAAATGTGAAATAATTAACTCTGATTGCAGGACCAGCTGTTATGTTGATACGACCACCCATATAAGTGTCCTATGTAGTTAGGGCTCAAATGATCTTTCAGTTAAAATGCTAATATAGGGATATTGTATGCAGGAAAAAAAAAAGGAGTGCCAAATATTGCTGATGTGCTTAAGATGTGTAAAGACAGAACTAATAGTGGCAGCATCTTTGAGTATAAGAAATACAGAGATAATTAGCAGGTATTTCAAAAGACTACAGGCGGTAATTGTCTATATACATTGGTTACTCTACATCTGACAGATAAATTGTCAAACTCAGTTTTAAATCCTTTTAATTTATTGCTTGGCATTTAACATGACAGGTTAAACATGTGGAATGTAAGTTTAAAACTTGAATGAGCAGTGCTAGTAAGTCCTGTAGAAAGTAGTAGTTTCCACACACTCTTCACTCACACACACACACACACACACACACACACACACACACACGGCTGACATACTGAGGTTTTTCGGAATGCTGATCAGCAGACAAAAGAATCTTTGTAATCTGGGGAAGAAACTGCATCCTTCTCTTGGGCTGTCCACTATTTCT